TCTCGTTTTCCAGTCGTGCCAAGCTGACCTCGTGAAGGACAACGGCCACAAATATTCTCTCTCTCTCGTTTTCCAGTCGTGCCAAGCTGATCTTGTAAAGGACAACGGCCACAAATACTTCCTTTCCGTGCTGGCAGATCCCTACATGCCGGTGAGTTCAAAACCCTCTTTCTCAGCCTTCTTTAAAACTTGCTTAGGTCGCCACGATGAGCGTGGTGCTCTTGGTAGGGACAGCACCATCTCACTCCCTGGTGACACCCACTGCCCTCTGGAGGAGGAGCATGGATGGGCTTTCAGGTTAGCCACTGGGGAAACGGATAATCGAGGGCCCCGTCCGAAGCGCTTACAGACCAAGTACATTTGCAGAGCCAGGTCTTTCAAAGCGTTAAGACTTTGATTCGTTGACTTTTCTTAATATTCATTTCATCCGCCCTGAAGCGGGAGCTGCAGGTACCTTGATAAATGGACTGAAGTGCTGTCTAATTTCATGGCAGCTTCGGTAACTCCCTCTAGTGCAATGGCGTTTTGTATCATCCTGCCACAGATACCCGTCGAGCCCCTCCAGAAGCAGTAGGACCATCTCCCCCGCCGGTGCTCCCCCTCCCCTGGCTCTGTAGTGACAAACGCACCCAGCTGTCGCAAACATGCACTAAATAGGGCACTAGCCTCTTCTGCACTAGTGCCTTTGAAACCCTGAGTGTCAGTGACAAACGCTGTGGAATACAGAGTCGTTCCCAGTCACTCAAGCCAACGTCAACTAGGATGGGATGGCTGCAAATTACGCCTTTGAAATAGTCTATTTCACTTAAACAAACCATGATGTGGCCGGGTTGCCAACTCTGGCATTGCAGGGCTGCAGCTGACATGGGAGAGCAGGACAGTGCGAGAGTTATTATTTGATAGGGGCAGGGAGTAATGCGTGGTTTTTTTTTAAAGCTGTGACCGTCGTCTAGTGGGTCTCTGGCTGCCCTCCTTTCCACCTGTCAGGCTGCTTGCTGTTAAAACTATGATTAAAATCCCAGCCTCTCAGTAGAGAACGTGAATCGATAGGTCTCAGCCGCACTCATGCCGGCCAGCCATGCTTCCTGTTCTGAGCACGAGGAGGGGGGCACGTTTCGTGTCCTGACGCAGCCGTGCCGCTCAGTTTGAGTTTGGATTCTCAAATGGTCGAGGTTCAGGAGGGTTACATCAAACAAGGCCAGGGGGCCACGGTGGGCGTTCTCCTCTCGAGCTACGCAGCATCCAATTGTTCTCTGATACAAATTAGTTGTGAGTTGTTTTGTTTTTAAGGCTGAGCACAGGACTATGACTGCGTTCATTTTGGCTGTGATCGTCAACAGCTACAATACAGGGCAGGTGAGTCCCACCGTCTTGATCCTGACGTTGCTGAGGCCTGAGGCCTTATCGCACAGCGGCTTTGCGTTGCTGTGAGTGGTCTGAACGGGCCATGAGACTGGGCTGTTGCCGGGGGCAAGGTGGCTTCCTAGTTTTCTTAGATTTAGGGGGAAAATGTGGAGATGCAGAGCACCTGGAAATAGAGGTTAAGGGGACGCAGTGTTAACCCTCCTCAGACTCAGTAAAATTTTGCAACCAACCCAGTATGGAGCCACAGCACGATTCTTTTCTTTACATTGCATGCCTGTCCCCTCAGAATCATTTTGTGGTTGAAAGGTGAGGCAGGAAGCTGCCTGTCTAACCGAATTGCACTGAACTGTTTTAGGAAGCCTGCCTTCAAGGAAACTTGATTGCCATCTGCCTGGAACAGTTAAACGATCCGCACCCTCTCCTGCGTCAGTGGGTGGCTATTTGTTTAGGCCGCATCTGGCAGAATTTTGACTCGGCGAGGTGGTGCGGTGTCAGAGACAGTGCCCATGAGAAGCTCTACAGCCTCCTCTCTGACCCCATCCCAGAGGTACAGTTCTCCGTGTGTGTGCATGTGCCCCATTGTGTTGTGCCCTTTGTGAGGCAGGGCTGCAAACCAATTTAAAAATCAGGCTCTTCAAGAAATCTCGTGAGTTGATAGGTGTCTGGTTTTATTAAAAACCCTTTTCCCCTATTTCTGCAAGACAGGCGCTTAAGTCCTGCTAGATCTGAGTCAGGAAAAGCAAAACAAATGCCGAGAATTACTGATACCCTGGGGAGAGATGCGTTTTCAGTGCGATGACTTTGAATCCAGGGTGTATAGAAGCGCCGTGGTACCTCAGCTCCCTGGGTACTTCAGCAGGTTCTCTGAGCCGCTTTGTCTAACTCTGAAACCCGAGCTCAGCCTGGAAAATGGCAGTTGAAATATCTGAGTCAGGAAAAGCAAAACAAATGCCGAGAATTACTGATACCCTGGGGAGAGATGCGTTTTCAGTGCGATGACTTTGAATCCAGGGTGTATAGAAGCGCCGTGGTACCTCAGCTCCCTGGGTACTTCAGCAGGTTCTCTGAGCCGCTTTGTCTAACTCTGAAACCCGAGCTCAGCCTGGAAAATGGCAGTTGAAAT